GGGTCTCCCATGCGAGTGCATGGTCCCAAGTCTTTGGGCCATCCTCAACTACATTCCCAGGCCACAAGTAGGGAGCTGTATGGGAAGTGGGACTGCTGGGATTAGAATGGTGTCTGTATGGGATCCTGGTGCACAAGGCAAGGTCTTTAGCTGCTAGGTTACTGTGCCAGGCCCAAATGCTTTATTTCGAAAATTCAAATTGATTTCTCTTCAATATCTCTATGTCTTGGCAAATTTTAAAAATCCATGTCATATATGGATTATTTAACTGATAAATTTGCTTCTCATTATTTTTGAGTAATCATAAGATCATTCTTTTGAATTCCTTTTCAGACATTTTGTCAAACTCTTCATCTTCACATTTTAAAAAGATTTATTGATTTTTATTTGAAAGGCAGTTTTTTATATATAGAGAAGGAGGAATACAGAAGGTTTTCCATCTGCTGATTCACTCCCCAAAGAACTTCAATGACCAGAGTTGAGCTGAGCCAAAGATGGAGGTCTGGAGCTTCTTCTGTATCTCCCACATGGGTGCAAGGGCCCAAGGACTTGAGCCGTCCTATGCTGCCTTTCCAGACCACAGGAAGCTGGATGGGAAGTGGAGTAATCAGGACACAAACCTGTGTTCCCTGGGGATATTGACATCATAGGATGGAGGATTAGCCCACTTTGCCACTGTGTCAGAATGCTTTCTTTTTATTTTCCTTCTCCCCCCCCTTTAAAAAAGATTGATTTCTTTTTATTAGAAAGGCAGACTTACAGAGAAAAAGGGAAAAGAGAGAAAGATCTTCCAACCACTGTTTTACTTCCCAAATGGCTGCCAACAACTAGAGCTGAGCCCATCAGAAGCTGGGAACCAGGAGTGTCTTCTGAGTCTCCCTTGTGGATATGCAGAATTCCTAGGCCTTAGGCCATCCCCTCTGCTTCTCAGGCTACAGGCAGGAAGCTGAATGGAAAGTGGAGCTGCTGAGACATGAACAGATATGGGATGCTGGCACTTTAAGATGTATGATTAGCCCTGTTGAGTCACAGCACTGGCTCTCATCTTCACACTTTAATACTGAAGTGTTCTATTCCTGTGGTGGAGTCATATTGTCTTCAGTTATCATGTTTGTCATATATATGTTTATATTTGTGCATTTATGGAATCACTTGATTTTCTGTTTGAAATTCACCTTGGTTGCCTAGTGTGATGTCTGCTGCTTCAGTGGATGTGTAGCAACATGTACTCAGTGGAGGCAGGGAGCTCCTGTCGATGTTGAGGAGAGATGGGAGAATCTAGGGTGACACCCAAGTTGGGCAGGGTAGGTCTGTGGCCAGCAGTGGAGAGGGTGTGATCACATAAGTGGAGTGAACTCTGCCTCTTCTTCTCTCCACCAGTATAATCAGTGCCTGGAGTGAGCCCACAGAGGCTACATACCTAACCAGTTCTGCTGCATGAACCACACAAAGGATCTGTGCCAGTCCTCTGAGTGAGTCCAGAACCCTCTACAGTGGCCCATCCCAAGAACTCAGGAAACTCTGAGCCTCTGAAGTCAGACACCGAAAAATCATAGTACATCGAATCCCATAGCTAGCTCCACCCACAGAAAGAAATAAACCATTCCCAGAGCCTGCTGGCTGTCGGTTTCTGCCTTGTGCTTTGATTCTGGGGGCCTGTGATAAAGTTAGAAGAGGGTCACACCTCATAGGCTTATCTGGGCATCCTGTCCCTCCTGACCCTTCAGTCTGGACTGAAACTCAGTAGGGACCATGGATATATCCTTCAGATAAAATACTCTACACACACACACACACACACACACACACACACACACACACACACACACACACACAAGAGCTGTACCTGATTGCACTCACCTTAACAAATGGTGTTTGTACTCTGCTTTTGACTGGCAGCCCTTGTGTATTGGGGATGAGATGGATGAAAAGTGGACACCCTGCCTCCAACTAGCACCTCAGACCAGATTCAAAGTCAGTGTGGTTGGCAAGGTTTTCCCTTGGGCAATATCGACAGTATCATGTGTTACTACAAACTCCTTTCACTTGTAAGAAGATGGTGTCTCCTCGTGATTGCCCAACATTCTGCTGCTAAAGTAAGTGCTCTGTGGAAGTGGCAGAGGCGAAGGAAACATGGTGGCTTCCCTAATCCAAGTGTGGAGTGGCAAAAAGTTCAGCATCCCAGGCTGAAGTAAAATTCCCTCTCAGCTAAAACTCCAAGCCAAGGGGCACACAGCAATTCCTTCCAGCCTTGATGTGATAAGCTGAGAGATGGTTGCACTGCGTGGCTGACTGCCTGTGTCTCTGCCTTCTCCCCTCTTGTCCCACAATCTTGTTTGGTTTTCCACCTCACTGAACATTTTCATCAATCAGACCCCTGGAAATGGGGTCCTTCTTTTGTTCTTTTCATACCCCAGAACAACTAAAGTTAGTGTGATTTCACCCTATTTAGCCATTTTGAAAGTTATCTTTTGTGGCTGAGGAACTTTTTGAATCTGGAGGAACTTTTTGAATCTGTGAATTGATCTCTTGTATTCGGTTCAATAATTTTCTAATCATTTAAAAAATATTGCTTCTATAACATGTCCTCTCTCCTTTACTTTTACATCCCCTATCTCTTTTGTGTTCTGTTCTTTCTGTTCCTCCCTCATCTCCTCACGACAGATTGAATATTTTCAGTTGGTCTGTTTTCAGTTCTACGTATATGTTTTATACTGTCTTCAGGCTGTTGTAAAACAAACCCAATGAGTTCTTCATCTCAGGTACTGGTATTTTGTGTTTTCAGAAGACTCACCTGATTCCTTATTGTGGATTCAAATGTGTTAAAATAATGCGTAATTTAGTCCATTTTGTTTATCTTTTCCTCTGTTTTATTTCACATCTGATCATAGTTCTTGTTTGCCAACAAAGGGAACATCGCTCAGTTGATTTTTTTTTTTACTTCTTTGTATTTGTTACTTGGTTTAAACTAGTGAGTTGACCCAGTGACTTTTAATTCAGACCGACTATTTGTTTTTTTTCCTAAGAGTTATATATTTTAGACTTTTTTAAAGGATAAAACTTATAGTATTCTCCCATCCAAGTACTAACCAGGCCCGACCCTGCTTAGCTTCCGAGATCAGGCGCGTTCAGGGTGGTATGGCCGTAGACTAGCTTATAGTATTCTAAACATTACAGTTATTGAAATTTTAATGTGGACTATTTTGTATGCAGTTGATTTCTTTTAATTGCTGTAATAAACACATACAAAATTACAGTAATACTTATCAATATTAGCATCTATTCATACAAAATATATCCTTTATCCATAGAAAATTTATCCCATAGTGTATGTCCAAAACTATGAATAACACTGAACATACTCTCTCTGTATGTGTGCATGTGTATATGTGTGCATGTGTATATGTGTGTGTGTGTGTTTACACTGTTACCAAAGATATTAGCAACTTTGCCATATGAGTTTGTTTCTTACCTTAAAGGGGAAAAACATTCACCTTTTCACGTCATGAAATCCCTCTGTGGTTCCTTTTTGGCATATTTAAATGAATAGTATCACTAATCTCGTACTTTGGGGCCATTGGTAAGTAAAGGTTACTGGAACACAGGAACTGTGATCCCCCAGCAGCCATTACACTAACTAAGACAGCTGCTAAGTGACTGATGGGCATGTGTCATATACAGCATAGATATGTCAGCCAGAGGAATAATTCACATTCTGGACAGGATAGAGCGTGACAACAGATTTCATCAGGCTACTGTGAATGGAATGCAGTTACGAATTCTTAATTTCAGAATTTTCCATCTGGTATTTTTGGACTGAGGTTGACTGCAGGTAACTGGAGCCATGGAAAGTGACACCACAAATGAAGAGGGACTATTGTAAATACCTATTAAGACCTCACATTAGACTTGTAGAGAGGTACTATTTTATTATTCTTACTTTATAAATGAAGAGTCTGAGAAACTAGAGGAAGTAAGTGTCCTTTATCTTCAAAAGCTACACAGCACGCAAATAATGGAATTCAGATAAATTCCAGAGTTTGCGTTTTCAACCACTTTAATTTTGTTAGTGTTATTTTCATTTTACAGAGAGGAACACTGGATTTTAGCAAGGTTAGGTGATCTCTGTAGTGTCTCAGTGCCAGTCAGAGGCAGCACATGTTCTTTCCCCAGTGCCATGCTTCTCCCCAAATGACAAAAGGGTTTTCCTTTTGGGACTTGATTTCAAAGGGTTTTGTGGGACTTAACAGTGAACCAGACATCTAACTTTGGATCTTGGTGAAGATAATTTCTTCTTAAGTAGTTGGCTTACTTATGACCAGGTACTGGAAGGCAGTTATTTTTCCCATAGTTGTTACTTCTTTTAAAAAAATCTATTTATTTAATGGACATTGAAAGAGAACAAGAGAGGGAAAAAGATCATTCCCTTCTGCTAGTTCACTCCCTAAATACCCACAATGGTCAGGGCTGGTTTGGGGCTGCAAGCTAGGAACAGGTCTCAACTTACGGATGGCAGGAACCCAACTGCTTGAGCCAACACCACTACCTCCAGGGGCTGTATTAGCAGGAAACTGGAGTCCAGCTGCAGCTGAAAGGAGTGGACATCTTAACTCCTAGGCTAATGCCTGCTCTGCAACATGCTATTTCCAGAGAAAAGGCATGGACATCTCCATGAATGTCCATTTTACAAGTGGAAAGATGGCAGAGCTCAAACTGAAGGCATCTGCCCACCCTGGGGCTACTTGGTGCTCAGTCCTTCAGTGCTACAGACATTTACAAGTGAAACAGAGTTCTTGAGAGGGTCAGAGAGAGGGTCCGAGAGAGGTTTGTTTTTTAAAGCCTCCACAGGCCCAGACCAGGAAAGAAAATTGGTTTCTTTATTGGGAAAGGAACCCAACAAAGCCTGGAGCACCAAGGAGGCTGCAGGATTCAGTCCTCTGTGGGACTGCAGAAGCCATGGCTCTCTGTTAATCTCTGACACTGACTACCCTTCTTTACAGTGTGGAGGCTGCCAGCATTGGATTCGTCATTATCATCGACAGACGAAGGGACAAATGGAGCTCCATAAAGGCGTCCTTGACACGAATAGCTGTAAATATTCCCTTTTGTGCTGTTATTGTGAAAATCGTATAAGTTGTCTATCAACTGTTGAGTTCTGGGAGAAAGACAGTTATCCTCTGTCTGGGATGGCCTTTGGGTAGGTGCCGCTGCCTTACTTTTGCATACCCTCGCAAGGGAAGCACTTGTTTCACTGTGTACATGGCTTATTTCCTCCCTTTAGCTTAGGATACAGAATCTGTCTCTGGGATAACTTCAGCCATGGTTGTTGCCAAGATTGCTCCCAAGATTTGGCCTCTAGGAAATTTTGTTTTCCTAGTGACCTTAGGCAATACTAGAGTGATTTAAAATTTGAGCTTCAGTAGTCCCAGAATTACTTTGATCACTTTATGAGTAAAAGCTGCCCTAGATCCGGGGTCCCAAATTCAACCACTTGTCAAAATGTCTTCAAATGCTGTGGACAATGCAGATACCCGGACTTAATCTTAGTCGTCATGAATCTGAATAGTCTGGGACAAACACTGGAAGCACTAGTTTGTTTTTTTAGTAAGTACATTAGAAGGTAATTTTGGAAAACCAGTGAGAAGAGTAGAAAGCCATGGGCCATGAAAGACGAAGTTTCTTAAATTTGCCACTAGGTAGTTATATGAATCCCTATTATCCCATTTCTCAGGACTGTGCCTCAAGCTCAAAGTGAGAACAACTTGGCTTAGAGTACTAATTCCTTGACTGAGTCATTTTTCCAGAAATAGACTCAAAGAAACTCTTCCAAAATATAAAGATACTAATTTCACCATTATCCATACTAATCAAAGTATTGAGAAGTCTAAATGACTTTCAGTAAAAGTTTGGTCAAGTACATTGTAAATCCATGAACGTAATATTTCCAAACAATTTTTGATAACAGGAATAAAAGCTCATTATATATTGTTACCCGAACAATATTTCTATGAAATTAGTTAAACAATGAAAAGATATTTAAATGGAAAACCAGCCTATGAGTAACTAAGTTGAATGCTTAAATATGGTCATCTTTTAGGAGGTTTTCCTTATCAAACACAAGTTTTTATTAATTTACCAATTGTTCTATGAATTACTTTTGCAATCAGAAAAAGAGATGCTTTTTCTTGTTTGGTTTTAAGGAGAGGTTTACATTATCTGACCTCTAAGGTCTCATCATCTGTGTTCTTGAGGACCCATTCAAATTCCAAGACATCTGTAGAATCCACTCTAACTTTTTCTGCTGATATCTTGTGCAAGAGGAGACCAAAGTACATCTTAGTGATCAGTGTGACATTTTCTTTCCCCCTGATGCTTTCATGATCCTTCCAGGTGGCATTTCCAGGAAACTTGCAGCTTATATTCATCCTCCGTCCATCCCAGTTTATCCAGAGGACCTTCACTGAGATTGGCATTAAATACTATCGAGATGAATTTAAAATGAAAGTGCCGGTAAGCATGACCTTTCATTTTGAATCCGTTTGGTTGGGACAAACGAGGAAGATGTCATTTGAACAAGATTTCAAAGTAAGGCAGTTCTGCTGGACAGAGAGAAAGGGCGTTCTGGGCTGAGGAAAGAGAATGGAACAAAGTACATGCTTCATATGCAGTCTGTGGAAAGCCTTATTTTTTGTGCGAGTTCTAAGAGTGTGAACGTGAGATTAATTTTGTGTTACCATAGTGTAATCACCAATTCAACTCCTGACTGCTCCCTTCCCAATCCTGCTCCCTATTAATATGCCTGGGGGAGCAGTGGAAGATGACACAAGTAATTGAGCCTGAATCACCCACTTGAGATACTTAGATAAACAGCCCAGTCATGGCTGTTGCAGTCATTTGAGGAGTGAATCGTGGATGGAAAATCTCTCTGTATTCTTTCCTCTTTTTCTGTAACTCCATCTTTCAAATAAATCAATATTTTAAAATGAAGGAAGATAATTCTTTGGAAGGAAAATGCAGAAAATATGAAACAGCTGTTCAGGGTGAACATAAAGGGTCTGAATTGTATTTATTGGACAATAGGGATACAATTAAACCTTTCCAGGTTGGAGATGTCTATGACCACAGAAGGAAATGGAAGGAACAAGGTAGTTTGTTGAGGTAAAAGAAAATATGATTATAAAATGTGGAAGTAACACAAACATAAGAAACTCCAGAGTAAAACTGTAAGTCAACATTGTGATACTCATAAGGGAAAAGCAAAAGTATCAATATGTTACATGTAACTTTGCCAATGAAATGTAGACGAACAGGCACTGTCAGACTTTGCTGATAAGTGTGATATTAGTAGTATTTACAGTCAATCAAGTACTAAGGAATGGTACATTGAAAACAATTAGTAGTTTCTTAAAAAGCAAATACACTATGATCCAGCAAGTAAATGGGAGTGTATGTTCACGAACAGCAAGCACAAGGCTATCTGTCAACAAATGAGTGGATGAAGGAACTGTCATATTCATATGGTGGAATGATACTGAGCAGTGAAAGGAGAGGAGCATTGGTATGTTAAACAGCATAGATACATCTCAGAAATAGTCTCTTGAGACGAAGAAGCTAGACACAAAAGAGTGGACTCCCCACTTCCTTTTATGTAAGACTCAAGAATACGTAATGCTAGGCTGCCATGGTAGAAAACCAAATTAGTGGCTGCTGTTTGGGGTGAAGTGTCGTGGAGATTGACCAGAAGGAGTTATAGGAAACTTTCTGGAAATACTGTGTATCTTGATTAGATGATGTTAAATTTTCGTATACTAATTTGTCAAAAGAGCTGAACTTAAAATCTAAGCATTTGGTAATATAAGCTATATCTCAATTAAAATGAAAAAATTTAAAATAGATAAGACATGTCTATAGTGAAATAGAACATTTCCTACATTTTATTTTGGTGGATTTTGAATGTTTACTTAAAAATAATGTTGAGGGTACAGAAAAGTTGCAAGAATAAGAAGAGTACAAAGAATATCAGAATATCATATGCTCTTTAGATTCGACTGGTAATGTTTTACTTCCCTTTGATTTATCATTTACTATTCGTTCTCATTTTCTCTGTGTATATATATGTGTGTGTGTGTGTGTGTTTGTACCCAATATACACATGTATGTACATTTCGTAAAAGATAAAGACTGAAATGTTTTAGACTAAAGGAGATTAAAGAGTGTGTCAGGGGGCCCGGCACGGTGGCGCAAGTGGTTAAGTCCTCGCCTTGCACGCCCGGGATCCCATATGGGCGCCGGTTCTAATCCTGGCAGCCCCGCTTCCCTTCCAGCTCCCTGCCTGTGGCCCGGGAAAGCAGTTGAGGTCGGCCCAAAGCTTTGGGACCCTGCACCCGCACAGGAGACCTGGAAGAGGCTCCTGGCTTCGGATAGGCATAGTATCGGCCCGTTGCGCTCACTTGGGGAGTGAATCATCGGACGGAAGATCTTCCTCTCTGTCTCTCCTCTCTGTATATCCGCCTTTCCAATAAAAAATAATAAAAATAAATCTTTAAAAAAAAAAAAGAGTGTGTCAGTCAAATGTACCTGCCTGGTTTGGGGCTGGATCCTATACATGTGTCCTCTGTATACATGCACATGTATATATACAAGAACAATAAACAATTAAAAGGGCATGTTTAGTTTGGTGCAAATGTTTAAAGCTTTATTTATTTATTTGAAAGGCAGAGTTCTAAAGTGAGTGGGAAATAGAGGTCTTTCCTCTGCTGATTCCCTCCCCAAATGGCTACAATGACTGGTACTGAATCAGATTGACGCTTAAAACTCCATCTGGGTCTCCCACATGAGTGGCAGGGGCCAAGCACTTAAACCATATTTTACACTGCTTTCCCAGAAGTGTTAGTTGAGAGCTGGATCAGAAATGAAGCAGCCAGGACTCAAACTGCTGGCCATATGGGATGTCATTGTTGCAGGCAGCTGTATAACTTACTGTGTGTGACAGTTTCAGCCCTATTGCAAAGCATTTACAAATCCATGCATAGATAGATTTTCAAACTTTTTTTGAAAATTTTATATTATAAAAAACTGCATGGATCACAAAATTTTTCTAATAGCCAATGATGATTTTTTTCCTGAGACAACGTTTATTATAATTGGTGGTAAGATAATCTTCCAACCCAGTACTTTCTTAGCCTTTGTTAGTAGGAAGTTGATATTTCACTTCAGCTAGGGCTTTCGCTTTTCTCCTGATTGCCCATTATTATAGATTCTTATTTATTCAATGGTTTGCAGCTTATAGCTGTTCTTAATTATTTTATGTTTAAGTTGTCCAGGTTGATGGAAGCTCCCTCAAGCTGGCTCCTTTGTTTTTGTGCCATGTCCCTGTTACTTTAAAAAATATATACTTCCTTATTTTCTGCCAAAATATGCTGGTATTTGAAAAAGTTTGTGAAAATTAAAAGAGGCTTATATTCTTTTGGTTAAAAGCTTTGAGAGACAGAGAGAAGAATCCCAGGCATTAGTTCATTGTCCAAATGCCCAAATGGTTGCAACTAGGGGCTGAAGCTGGTAGTTGGGAACTTATTCCATGTTTTCTACATGGGTGACAAGGTCCCAGTCACTACTAGTAGCAGGAAGCTGTAGTCAGGAGCAGGGTAGGCAGTGAGCCAGCTAGCCTGATATGGGACTCAGGTGTCTTCACTGCTAAGGCTAATCACTCACCCCAGAAAAGTTTATTTTGATTTGTAAAAATTGAAATGCATGAATAGCTTTTCATAATACATGTTTTCTTTCTTTTTTTTTTAAGATTTATTTATTTTTATTACAAAGTCAGATATACAGAGAGGAGGAGAGACAGAGAGGAAGATCTTCTGTCCGATGATTCACTCCCCAAGTGGCTGCAATGGCCGGTGCTGCGCCAATCTGAAGCCAGGATCCAGGAACTTCTTTCCAGGTCTCCCACGCGGGTGCAGGGTCCCAAAGCATTGGGCTGTCCTCCACTGCTTTCCCAGGCCACAAGCAGGGAGCTGGAAGGGAAGTGGAGCTGCTGGGATTAGAACTGGCGCCCATATGGGATCCCGGGGCGCGTTCAAGGCGAGGACTTTAGCTGCTAGGCTATGCCGCCGGGCCCAATATGTATTTTCTATGAACTTTTTGAAGACCCTCGTTACAGTATTCTTGGATTATCTCATATTCACTTTTATCAAGTCCTGTAATTCGCCCTTTCTCTTTTGAATTCTGGTTCCTTTTTGGTGTTGAATGCTATTAGAGACTCAGATCTGACTGCAAAGTAGCTGTTACTATCTGAATGTTGTCTGTCAGACCCTTTCAACAAAGACTATAAATATGTACATACACATAACTGCATACATCATGTATATGTAGGTTCCCACTGATGCCTCAGATTTCAGTCCACTTTTTGGCATATTTTTTAAGAGGGTAAAAACAAGTATGTTCATGTTTGAATAAAATAAGAGGGGCACATATAATGGGTCTTTAAAACGCTCATGTTAAATGTGCATTATGAGAAAATGATGTGTAGATTTTTTTTCTGAAACGATGTGTAGATTTGCCAATTGTTTTTGCACCAAAACAAGCTTATTATTAATACTATTATTTTTTTTCTGTGAGTTGTTGGAAGTACTTTTGTGTATGATTGTGCATAGATTGCCTTGGGTAGGATCTATAGGAATATGGGAAAGCAATAGCCTCCTGGGTGGGGAAGTGGAGGACTAGTGGTTGAGGAGAGGAAGATATTTCTACTCAGATTCTCTTTCTGTTTGAATTTATTACCATCATACATGTTCCCTGTCCAAAAGAAAGATAAAAAAGACTCCAACTTTAATTCAAATTGCTCTGAAAGAATAATTGGCCCATCTTAGAGAAAATTGACCATTGCAGATAAGGTTCTTTCTTTTTATCTTTTTTATTACTTTAGTTTTCTCTCTTTTGATTTACTTTATTTTTTCATTGTTTCCAAATTTTCTATTTCTTATTGACTCTGGGGGAAGGGGCGAGACAAAGGGGGAAGCTACATCCAGCATCCCAAATATCCCAGTACCAGCTGGGTGGAGGACCAGGGATGGGGAACCTCCACCCAATATCAACCCAGGGTCCCTATGTGGCACGTATTCTGGGGGTTCTGGTCAGGATAGTTCTGAAATGCTGTTGATTTTGCCAATAAAGGGTAAGGCAACCCTCTCAATGTTTACTGGCTGACATTGTTGACCTCAAGTCTCCAATCACCCAGATTTTTGCTGTCATTGTTTGACAGGATACTTGTCCAATTTTTTCTGCTCTCCTTCCTTTGCTACAGTTCCAAATGGGCTGTCATATTCTGCATGTGCATTAGGGTCTGTGTCTACTTCTCCACATTTTTTACTCATAGGCAGAACCCAGGACCAGGCCAGGCAACCAGAGCCCCACCAGATCCCCTGCCTTGGGGATCATGAATCTGGCATCCACTGACCCCAGGCTGGCATTTGCTCACCTCACCTCAGCATCACCTATTATGTTGTGCA